AAACAAACAAACAAAAACTTCAAAAAAGGTGAAAACTAAATAGCAATCATTTAAATAAATAATGTTAACAGACTCTCCAAAGCCAGTATACAGTCAATTCCTCGGTCTGGTTCTGCAGATACCAAAATCCTTGGATGCCCAAGTCCCTTATATAAAATGGCATATATGCATATAATATACATACATCCTCCCATATACTTTAAATCACCTCTACATTGCTTATAACACCTAATACAATGCATTAGGTTGGTGCAAAAGTAACTGTGGTTTTAGCATTGTTGAAATTTGCCATTTAATATTGGAATACGTTCTTTAATAAATGTGGTTATGTCACACATCATTTTAATGCGCATTCCTGCCTTTACATTTTTTTGCTAATGACTTATTACTTGCTGTTTATTTTATATTTATTTTAGACTATGGAAATGATGTTAGACACAAAGCAAATTCCAGCGATTTTCTTATTCCAGTTCAAAATGGGTCATAAGGCAGCAGAGACAACTCACAACATCAACACATTTGGCCCAGGAACTGCTAACGAACGTACAGTACAGCATTGGTTGAAGTTTTGCAAAGGAGACAAGAGCCTTGAAGATGAGGAGCGAAGTGGCCGGCCATCAGAAGTTGACAACGGCCAATAGAGAGCAATCATCGAAGCTGATCATCGAAGCTGATCCTCTTACAACTACACAAGAAGTTGCCAAAGAACTCAGCGTCGACTATTATACGGTTGTTTGGCAAATTGGAAAGGTGAAAAAGCTCTATAAGTGAGCTGACTGAAAATCAAAAAAACAGTCATTTTGAAGTGTCATCTTCTCTTCTTGTATGCAACAACAATGAACCATTTCTTGATCGGATTGCAACGTAGAACGAAAAGTGGATTTTATACAACTAGAGAAGACCAGCTCAGTGGTTGGACTGAGAAGAATCTCCAAAGCACTTCCCAAAGCCAAAGTTGCACCCAAAAAAGGTTATGGTCACTATTTGGAGGTCTGCCTCCAGTCTGATCCACTACAGCTCTCTGAATCCCGGCAAAACCATTGCATCTGAGAAGTATGCTCAGCCAATTGATGAGATGCCTGAAAACTGCAACGCCTGCAGCGGCATCGATCAGCAGAAAAGGCCCACCTCTTCTTCACAATGTCCAACCACACATCGCACAACCAACGCTTCAAAAGTTGAACGAATTGGGTTACAAAGTTTTGCCTCACCCACCATATTCACCTGACCTCTCGTCAACCAACTACCACTTCTTCAAGCATCTCAACAACTTTTTGTAGGGAAAACACTTCCACAACCAGCAGGATGCAGAAAATGCTTTCTAAGAGTTCGTCAGATCCCAAAGCACAGATTTTTATGCTACAACAGGAATAAACAAACTTATTTCTTGTTGGCAAAAATGTGTTGATTATAATGGTTCCTATTTTGATTAATAAAGATGTGCTTGAGCCTAGTTATAATAATTCGAAGTTCACAGTCTGAAACTGCAACTAATTTTGCACCAACCTAATAAATTCTATGTAAGTTGCTATACTAT